TGCTCATCTATCTGCATTTGTCCGCCCTCTCCAGTCTTCCTGCAAAGAGAACCCCTTCAATCGGAAGCCATCACCTGCTGCCTCCCCCTCGGCAAAGAAACCTCCCAAGGGCTCCAAGCCTGTGCGTCCTCCTGCACCAGGCCACGGCTTCCCACTGATCAAACGCAAGGTAAAAGGGCCCTCGGGAGCAAGGAGGGAAAAGCCGGCTCTGTGCTATCCCCCAGGGCTGGAGCAGTCTGCAGGCACCCTGCTGATGCATGTGTGGGAAGGGATTGCAGCAGGTGGCCGTGGCTGGGGAGGAGGGTGTGTAAGCTACAGCTTGTTCATTAAAGCACCATGGTCTTCCTTTGCTCCAGAGTGGGGTGGGGATTTCAGATCCATGCTTCGATGGAATATTCTGTTGTCTCCCTGCCCTTGTTAGTGTTGACCAGCCTCTGGATTACCCCTGGGAACGGGAGTCTGGTGGTAATGAAAGTGTCTTATTTATGGCTTGGCAGGTGCAGACAGATCAGTACATCCCTGAAGAAGACATCTATGGGGAGATGGATGCCATTGAGCATCAGCTGGATGAGCTGGAGCACCGTGGGGTGGCCTTGGAGGAAAAACTGCGCAGTGCTGAGAATGGTGTGTGGGTTGGGCTGTCTGTGGGTGTGGGGCAGGACAGACCCTAGGGCTGCCCTCTTACTCCCCGCTGATGCTGGGGTTGGAAGAGCCCATGAGGCTGTGTTGGCCTCCGAGATTGGTCACAACCTTACCCTGAACATGGAGATGTCCCTAGAATGGAAACAGGTGAGAGGAGAGATAGGGTCTCTCTGGGTCTCAGAAATAGGCTGAGGTTGGGTTGACTCTAGCCCAGTGCCCCTCCCCTGGCTTGGCAGAGGCCAGCCTTTTGCAGGGTGATGGGATCCACCAGGGCTGGGAATGGCTCTGAATTGTCCCTTTGCTTGGCAGACAACTCTGAGGACAGCCTGCTTGTGGACTGGTTCAAACTCATCCATGAGAAGCACATGCTGGTGCGCCACGAATCAGAGCTCATCTACATGTAAGTATGTGCAGGCGTGTGGAGAGGCACTGATACTCTCTTGTGGAACCCTTTCTCAGCCCTCCTGAAATGGTGCTTCCAGGGGAGATCCTGACAGGGTCTCCTTGCCTAGAAAAGAGAGGGAGTAAGGGCAAGAAAATCTGTCCAGATGCACTGAGAATTGACCCATGGCACGTCACCAGAGCCTCTGCAGTATCTGCTCCAGGAAGGCCTTGAGCAGCCAGGCCTGGCCCTTACTGGTTGTTGACTCCCTGGCTATACAGGACAAGAACAGAATCTTGATAGTTCTTTGCAAGCTCACCCTGTACTTTGGGATAGTGTTCTGCCTCTCTGGAGCCTTCAGTGCTTCCCAACATTTCCTCCTTCCTTTGCAGCTTCAAGCAGCAGAACCTGGAGCAGCGGCAGTCAGACGTGGAGTATGAACTGCGGTGCCTCCTCAACAAGCCAGGTAAAGCACCACTCTGGGTGTGCTTACCCCTTTTTTCATAGAATCACAGAATATATTGAGTTGGAAGGCACCCACAAGGATCATTTTTCCCCTTGGCATCATCTCCCCTCTCTCTAAGGGCTTTGTAGGGATGCCAATGCAATCAACTGGCTCTAGAGGCTCTGTCCCACCTCAGTGTATGTCCCAGCCTTGTGCAGGGACGTGCTTCTTTTGTCCCCATGGAATGCCACATGGCAGGGCTCTGTCCCCACAGCACTTGTAACCCAACTGGCCCTGCAACATGGCAGGGTAGAGGGGATTGTGCTGGAGATCTCTGCCCTGAAGCTCTGCATTTCAGTGCTCCTTCAGCCATGTAATTGCCTGTCCTTCCCTGGGGTTTGTCTGGGTAGAGAAGGACTGGACCGATGAGGACCGAGGGAGGGAGAAGGTGCTGATGCAGGAGCTGGTGACCATCATTGAGCAGAGGAATGCCATTGTGAACTGCCTGGACGAGGACCGGCAGAGGTGAGTAGGAATGGGGTGGGCTGGGGGAGAAGGGAAAAGCACAGCCTGTCTGACTCAGCTCCACATGAGCGCCTTGCAGGGGTGTCCCAAGATGTCCGTGTTGCTGATGTCTTTCCCAGGCTTCCCAGTCCTTGTCTCTTTGAATGCTTTGTGTGGGAAAGACAGGACAGCACGTGCAGCATGTGGGATTTATCCTGCTGGTTGCAAATGCTTACAAGACAGTGATGGATCTGCCCCTCTATGGCTTCTAAGTAGGAGGCTCTCTAGCCTGAAACAATACAACAGCTGTTTTCAGGGCTGAATTCCTGACCTCTTTCCCATTCTTTCTTTCAGAGAAGAGGAGGAGGATAAAATGTTGGAAGCCATGATTAAAAGGAAAGGTAAGAAACAAATGGGAAGCTTTTTGGAGTGATGTTTTCACTGCTGACCCCAGTAAGGGGTCATGGCTCTCACCCTTGCCCATTGTCGTGAGTGTGTTTGTACAACTATTGACATCCCACAGTAACAACCTCCCTTTGCAACCCCAGAATTTCACAAGGAGACGGAGACCGAGAGCAAGAAGAAAGGCAAATTCAAGCCTATGAAGGTGCTTAAGCTGCTGGGCAACAAGCATGATTCCAAGGGCAAGTCACCCAAGGAAAAAAGCTAGAGCAGGGGAACACCGGCATCGGGAGGGAACCCTGACTCGCCTCTCCCTGGCCCTGGCTCGCCTCTCCCCTGCTCCCTCCTCAGGCACCAGAGCTGCCGCCCCAGGGAGATGCCAGCCCTCAGCCCAGAGTGGGTGAGAATGACCAAAGCCCTCCCCTTCCTGAGGCTGTGGGGGAGCATGACCATACCCTCCATGAAGCCTTGTTAACAAGGCGGGGAGAAGATGGATTTGCTTTTCAGATACATTACCCAATTGTGTGCTCTTGTCATTAACTGAGAACAAGCAAAGGAGTTTCGTGTTTGTGGGAAAACTTGCACTAACTGCACCCCATCCCTTCTCCCGCTCTAACTGTGACAGTTCCACGTGCCTCTGACTTTTGCCAGGAGGGGACTGGGCCTCCCTGTCCCTCCCTGCCTGCCCACTCTTGTCCCTTTTCTGTCCCATTTTTAACTTCAGGAGAAAACTGACATTAGAATCAGGATCCTTTGGGTTTTACTGGCCTAAACTAAAAGGTTAAGAAAATACTCCTGCATCATAAGGCTCTAGAGCCATAGCCAAAAAAACAAGCGGTGCCCTATTTATTTTGAGCTGTCTCCTCCCTCGTGTGCCAGGGGTGGGTGGGCTCCGTCCCAAGGCTGAGAGGACCCAAGGGGACGGTGTACAGCTGCTAGGATGTAGCTCACGTGCCCTACTCAGGAACCCCACTGCTGCTAAACACTGCTGACTCTGCTGCCTTCCTGGGGAGGGAAGACCTGTTCCTTTTCCAGGCAAGGGCAGAAAAGCTCAAGCTTGACTGAGTGCCGGCAAGGGGGCACTAAGCTTGTGTCCCTGCTCACCAGTGCCACCCTTGAGCGGCAGGGGAGAGAGGCACGGTCACAACTGACCTTTACCCAGCTTCACCTGTGTATACTTTAAAAGTGTGCAGATGTGGCTGGTTATTTTTTACACCTCCTTTACTAGATGAATTCAAACCCATCCAAGAACTTTAAACCCCTTATTTTATTTGTCATGTGTGTGCGTGTGTGTACATCAGAGGAGAGGAGGGAATAGGGGGGCAGTGTTCTTCCAACCATCCCTTCTTCCTTCCATTTTTGTTTTCTGCCTTCACTTCCAAGATGATGAGTTATTTATTGAATTATTGGATCAGTCTGAATTAGAGTTTCATGGGTGTTTGGTTGGTCAGCTATTCATCATGCCTTCTCATTAGCAAATTAGACATAACCAGCCCTGAGCCATCTGCTGCAGTCTCTTCTAAAAACCCAACAGGCTTTAGCCAAAATGCTCTCAGAGCAGTGCCTTGCAAGGTGGCTGGTGTAGCATTCTGGAGAGGGATCCTCATTTCCCAAAACCAGAGGGACCCAAGCCCTTCCTCAATCCCAGCACGGGCCCCATGGCTGGGAGCTGGCCAGTCCAGCCCTGTGCTGGTAATGCCATCTCACCCTTGCCATACACAGCAGGCTGATGAGGAGCAGTGATAGGGGCAGGGAGATCCCAAAGCACAACTCTTTTCTGAGGAGAATAAAACTGCTTTAGAGCCTGCTGTCACATCACTGTTGCCAAAGGCCATTGGGATTGCTGCAGCCTGACACCCCTTGGCCCTGCGCCTGGTCAGCAGTTTGATTTGTAAATTATACTGTACTAACTCCATGACTTCCATTCACCTGAGCAGAAATAAAAGAAACATTGGATTTAAAAAGTGATTGTGGATTAGGTTTCTGATTCCTTTGTGCACTTGTGCTGTCCCACGGCCAGGGCATGCTGCCTGGCTTTGTGAAGTGCTTGAGTATTGCTAAGAAGCAGAGGATGAGATCTTAAGGAAATTGGAAACTGGATGTTATGCTGGGATTTGCACAGGAAAAGTGGGACATCATGCTTCAGCCCGCTGGAGGACAGAGGTGCAGGTATTTATGAGGTGAGCAAACAGCCATTTCCAGTCTCTGTGGGAATAGAGTGGCTATTCTGTATACCGTGCTTTCAGGAACCAAAAAAATCACAGCAAAGAGCAGCAGGCACTGGGCTGAAATCCCCTGTCCCTGCTCGCCACAGCTGGGGCTGCCACCAGAGGTTTGCTGATGCTTAAGGTCACAGCCAGAGTGACCTGCAGAAATGCCAAGGGCTTGTGATTGCACGAGGCTGTGCAGCTGCATTTCCTCCAGAGAGATTCCTGGAGTCACGGGGCCAGGAGTGAGCAGGTTACAGGTGTGGTGGCAGCGTGTGTTACCATCATGCTGTCACAAGAAACCTCCACCTCTGGGCAGATGGGAAGGAATGACATTTCTATGGATGGATTGCTGTACTCTGAGGCACTGCACAGGCAAAAAAAAGGCTCTGCTTTGTCATGTTTTGGGAGCCATTGCTATGTATTTTCATGTCTTTAATATTATTGAGCAAAAAGGGATCCAGTGTGTGGGAAGGATTTTACAACTTCTGTTGCTGTTTATGTACAAATTGGTCCTGCCTTCTAGTTTCAGGCAACAGATGGTGCTGCCCCATCTTTGGAAACAGTCACAGACCAGCCTCCAATGTCGACACTCTGGGAAGAATAGGTGGGAACAAATTGCACTTGTGTTTTGCCCTTGGCCTAGTCTTGGAGATTGGATTTGTTCCCAGCAGGGAAGGCTTTTGTCATATTTCTCATTTCCTCACTTCTCTTCTTGTCAATGATCTCCATCTCATGCAATTTCTGCAAAGTACAAAGGGGGAGAGCTGAGCAGGGAGAAAACCAGCAGCTTTTTTCCCCTTCTTTTGCCAATCTTAAGAACAAAAGCTCTATTTTCCTGATTAAGTTACATGCAGAGATGGAAAGAAAACTGAAAAACTTCTATCCACCATTCCCCAAATTCATGCCTGAGCTGTGCCATGAAGGGAAGCAGCTCTTTGCCTGCTTCCCTGCTCAGATATCCTGACACACAGGATTCCCTCCATGCACTGTTCAGCCAAGGCCCTTGCATACCTGTGAGATTTCAGTGAGGATGATCCCTTGATACTTCTTACCCTGTCCTAGAGCTTCCATCTCTGCCAGGAATTCCCTCCTCTCTTGAATTTCATTCATCACTGGTGGATAAGAGAAAGAATTGTGGAAACAGCATGCAGCCAAAAGGCAAGAAAACAGGTTTGTGTCTAGATCTGAACTCTCAATTTCCTAGTTCTGCTTGAACAGCAGACCCATCAAGGCAGTGTGATAGCTGCTGTAACACTCACCTTGCTGAACGTGTCATCACAATACATCAGTAGTCCCTTACATAATGGGAAATGTCCCTTCTGCCCAGCTTCTTACCACCCCCTGACTCCCAGGAACAACAGTTTTGTAGTTTTCTTTATGTAGACAGTTCTCTTTTGCTTGTGGGCAATTGAAGCAGTCTGTGGATGGAGACGGAACCTGCTGTTGAGGTTCATTAACTGACACACAGCACCCAGTGACTGCAACCATCCAAGACCAGGCATGGATCATCAGCTGCTGCTTTGCAGCACAGACCTGCAGCCAGCTGATCCAAATCCTGTCACAGATGTGTCAAGGACAACATTCAGCTTCTGACAAGTGTTGGAGGCAACCAAGCCTGTGTGCAACCAGCTGCACTGGCTCCCTGCAGCAGGGACCAAAGCACCCCTTCTGTACGCATTATTCTGGCATTGCCCGTCTTTGTGTTGCCCTGGCTGGCAAAAGGCTGGCAGGGCTGTACACACACATTGAAGATTCAAGCACAGAGAGGTATTTGGCAGGGTTTTGCTATCACTGTATAAGTCTTTTACTTACACTCTTACACTGCCAAAGTCTTTTATGGCTTCAAATTCTGCTCGATATTGAAGCTTTGCTAATGTAACTGCTGTGATCCTGGAGTGGAAGGCTGGTCACCAAACTGTGGTTAGGCTGTCAAGTGACCTGGTCTATGTTGAGTCAGGCTTGCTGGGAAAGGGACCAACAGCACCTGAGCTTGCTTCCCAGATATCCCTGCACATCCCTAGGCTACTCCCCTGCCAGCAGGGTGCATTTTGTGCTAGCAGCCCAGAGAGCTATCTGCCAGCCAACCTCAGCAATATAAGCTCTGTGAGGATGGCTGGATCAGTGTCACAGCAGCGAGTCTTTTCTCTTGGAAACTGGGCTTTGTGGCTGCTCCTGTAATGGGCTTCAGGTTATTGGCAACACAGCCTGCCACCACAGCCCTAGGAGGGAGCTGGCTTCCTGGGCTTCCTGCCTGCCTCCCTCCTGGGGACATGAAGACATACATTCTTCAAACTGGTCAGGCGCAGCTATCTCCTCTTCCTTTTTCTGAACGAACACCTGCTTCACCTTGTCCTCTACCTCATCCTTCCCTGTTGCTAAGATGTTTTGAAGTCTTCTCTTCTCCTTTTCCAAATCTCCTGTGAATGCCAAAGGAAAAAAATATATTTATCAGCACATCTCCTCATGGGAGGAGCCTGACCTCACTGCTTCCCTAACTGTGCCAAAGAAGTGCTTCATTAATGTCAGTCCATCCCTAGACTGTGTGCAAGCACCACACGGGTGTACAGAGCCCACCAAACCAACATCAGAGCTGTGGTTTCACATTTATGTGCTAGAAAATCACCTAGTGCTCTGTTCTTGCTCAAGGACTGTGCAGGTCCCTATCACCTGTCACTGCCCCCCTAGCTGGCAGGCAGAAGTCAGCGAGCACTTACAGCAGATGCTCCCTCAGAGATTCATTTCTGAAGCATCTTTGAAGAGCGAGAGCGTGAGGACATGGAGCAATTCAGATACACTGCCACCACTGAGATTGAGGCAGGGGATGGACAGGAGGGGAAGAGAGGCTCCAGGCACCACCATGGATTTATTAGCAATGTTTGCTGACTTACGTATGGGCTGTGGCTTGAATTTCTCTCGGGTGTAGGCATCTTCTGCCTGGCAGACCTTGGCAGGTCGGAGAAGCGGTCTAGCTGGAAGCCTGCATGGCTGACAGGCTGCTGGGTAGGAAACATGCACTGGCTGTTTGCTGGACGGGGGGAATCTCTGAAGGGGCAGGGCATCGCCTCCTGGGAATCAAACCAAAACAGCAAATCAGGCAGAGGGGACTCTGGATGGATGGCTCTAGGCCACTGCCAGCAGATCTACCTGTTAATCCATAGGAGCATGACAAACGAAGACCCCAGTGCCCCAGACGTCTCACCCTGGTCACTGGGCACGACAGACTGCAGTCCAAGTCGCACCGTTGTGCCTTGGTTCCTGGCTGACCCGTGGGGACAGCTCGCCCTGTTCGTCCCCATGTCCCCAAAACAGCTGCTGTGCTGCTGTTTTAAAGCATTTGCCCATCCGAGCAGGCTGTGGGCAAACACCCAAGTCTCAAGCCGAGATGCAAAAGCTCCTCAGCACAGCACAGCACAGCAGCGGGCAGGAGAGCCGGGGGGCTTCACTCACTTTTCACGTAGTCCATCAGGTATCGCTTCTGAGAATGCGTCAGATGCAGCTCCTCCATCGTGGCTGAAAAACACAACGTGTGCATGAAGAGGCAGCAGAGCCGGCCTGGGGAACCCGCCCTGGGGTCACCATCCCTCACAACCCCAACCCGAAGGAGAAGATGCGGGTTTGGGAGACTCCAGCCGGGGCGGCGACACCAGCCACGGGCCTGCCCGGTTGCCGGACCGCGGTGGGACGCTCTACTTCGGGGCGAGGCACTGTGGGCGGGACCCCGGCCCGCTCCGCCGTTACCTCTCACTAGCTCCCGCGTTCCTGTGCTGTACCGAGCCGGCCTGCCCCTGGGCGAGCCCCAGCCGCGGCCCGGGATCCCCGCCGCCTCCATCGCGACGGGCGGCGAGCGGGCGGGGAGGGTGAAGCGGCGGCGGTCGGCATGGCAACGGCGCCGGGTAACTTCC